AATGTTCCTCGAACATAATATGGATTCCCTTCGGTACGCATTGAGAGATGGAAAAAAGGGTCAGTTTTCAGATTTCAATATAGCATCAGACAATCGGAGTGTGTTTCTTCATTCAGTGTACCTAATGATATTGTCGTTTTTCATTTATTGCCTATATTTTTAACTCATCAATATCAGGCATGTTTCCCAATGCACTAAAAAGAGCTATGGTGACTCCTATATATATATAAAAAAAATAGCAACGTAAAAGAAATTGAAAATTACCGAGCAATCAACTTGATCAACATAGCAAAAATTTTTGAACAAATTATATGTACAAGTGCACTAAAACCAAGCATTTCTATATTTCAACATGGCTTTGTAACTGGTAAATCGACCGTTTCAAATCTTTGTGTATTATCTGAACATGCATCGGAAGCAATGAATAAAAAAAAACAAATGGAAGTGATATATACCGACTGTGAAAAAGCCTTTGACAAGGTTGATCACGGGCTGCTCTCAAATCGTCTCGTTGCTATGGGAATATCATACTCCACATTTCTGTTTCTCAAATCATACACGGAAAAAAATGATTTGTTGCATCAACAAATTATTTATGCCTGAGTTATTTTTGTTGGTCTGAGCAATTTTTTATTGAAACAACCAGATACATGATTATTCCATGGAAGCAGCTTGTTCAACTCAAGAATGTAGGCTAATTGAATCAACAGTATAATATGAATTCCATCAACAAAATATATGGTTTCTTCAAAAACAAATTATGTCGATCCAAAATGATGTCGATGTTGATTCAACTATAAACATTTCGTCAATTTGATCAAACAATGATCATTTTGATGAGATTATATCTTTGAAACGACATACAAGTATTCTTATTCCGATGTAGCACAATACACTCGTTTCGAACAGATCCTTTGCTTGAATAAAGAAACGAAATATGTTAATCAATGAAATATTTTGTTCATTCTACATCAACTTGAATTTTTGCCTCTAGATGGCGATCATTTCGCCTCGTCTATGCTTGCCTCGAATTCATTATATACGTGAAGCCTGATTCTTCGTGTTTGAAATATCAGCTGGATAAATCGAACTTAGGATGATTATCAATCCGAAATAGTTTTCCATCAGCTAAGGAGATGTAAAGACTTGAGATCTATGCTGGGAGTCGACTAGTTTCCTAGTTTTGTTTATTCTATTGATGTGAAATTTCAGAATAGTTCCGAATATTGGATTTGGTTCAACAAAACAATTTGTCGAATGGATATATAGTTTCTCTTGAATTGTAACGGGTGTTTTTCAATAAAATTACATTAAATATATTACTCAAATATTTATGAAGAAAGTGTAATTGAGAGATCAAATGAGGTACCTAATTCTTGGCCAGAGTGATAGCCGGTTCGCTCAGTAGAGATGGTGTGGGTACACAACCATAATAAGCACAAAAAAATTAGAGATATAGAAAATAATAGGGCGCCACCCGTTTCAGTTCTACTCTCACTCTGTGTTACCAAGAAAATTTATCAAAACGGGACGATAATGCAGATGAATGACATATAGATACCAGATTCCAATAATTTAATAATAATAATTTAGTAATAATAAATAATTATTATGGAACATTATAATATATCAATAATCGTATATTATAATATATCGATAATCCTGACTGAGTTTCGTCTCTGAATTACGAGAACAAGAAAGTGTATGATTCAAATAACCCCCTCCATATAGCTATATGCAGTTCACAAGAAATATTTATATATAAGTAGGTATTCAACTTTGGAGTCAACTCCTAAAGGCGTTGTATTATGTAAACCTGTGTTATGTAAACTATTCTCAACTTTGTTGTTGGTTCCGTTCGGCTCCCCAGTGATCGGTCTTGATAAAACAAAATTGGACAAATATCCTCTTACCAGGTGTCAGCTGCTAACAAGCATCTCTTTTTTTTTTGCTACATACAGCATCCAATACCATCTCCAATACTATCAACCTATTATGGGCTTCAATGGAATTCGATAGATGGTGAACCAAAATATCTTCAGCGATAAATCCACATATGGGACTAGTTCTCCTATTACGAGGACCCTAGGAATATAAAACGACAAAGTGAATTCAAAATGCCGATTCGAGATGAAAGAAAGAGCATTTTCAAAGAAGAAAAAAAGATACATTACCTCCGAATATTTGAGGGTTTTCAATTCAACTTATTATGTGGAATCCAATCTTCTAAAATCTGAAGGGTTATTCTCTTCAGACGTGATGTAACTAGGTGCCTATGCAATATGTGATGATTCGTGGAACTTAAATGTACCGGCATGATAGAAAAATGGTGTTTCTTTTCCTGAAGTGAAGAATACTCACGGTTTCAGTGCAAAAGCCGCATTAAGCGATAACAACTTCTATGACTCACGTCAAAACAGAACACAACCAAATGGTGTAACTATTGTGTGAAGACAACCATATTTTGTCTCCAAAATCCTCAAAATTGGCGAAATTTCGAAATAGAAACGTGGCGTTTTATCATAGAAAAATTTTGGCACTGAAGCCTTCTAGAATGATCTTCGGAATTGCCATCTTCATTACGAATATCGGGAACATTTGGATTGATGAAACTTATTCATAAAAACATCTCCATCGTTTGAATATTTAAAATAAGATTGGCAGTACTGAGAGGTACTGACGTAGCACAAGAAAATGGTACTATATGAGACGTACTAATAGTGCTCAGTCTTCGTCCGACACATGGGTATTTGGTATAACAAAGAAAGACCAAAGCGCGAAGATTGTACTCCAAGCAGTGCGGAGAGAATAAAGATAGTACGGGAGCCAATGCTTACAATTAGTGTGGGAGACTAGATACAATTTCACTGAATTTGAATATTTCTCTCATAATTTAAGGTTCGACAAGATTTCATGGGTATGAACTAATGGGGTGGACCAAGAAAAGTAGGCGGTTCGCCTTATGAGAAAATGGCATGTAACAGAATCAACAAAATATTTCATTGAATTAACCAAATATTCAATTGAATCAACCAAATATTTTATTGAATCAACCAAATATTTTTTTGAATCAACCAAATATTTCGTTGAATCAACTAAATATTTGATTGAATCAATATCTTGTTATTTTGAATCAAACAAAATGATTGTTCGAGCCAATTCAATATCTCTGCATAAACAATTCATGGATGTGCTTGATCGAAGAAGATCCAGAGTTCATGCAAAACGTATTTACTTGATTCAAACTTCAAATTCGCTCTGAAACGAGATATAGATTTACTCATTTCAAGATTATATTTTGTCGTGCATATATGACACTTTTATTCGCTCCATTCAATTAAATTTTGCTTGATTCAACAATTCCTTTTTTTCCGTGTATCTATTGAACTGGGAACTCCTAGTTAAAGTAGGCAGAAATACCTCAAACAGAGATGCTACCTCAGGAGTGCCGCAAGGTAGTACCCTAGGTCCAATATTATTCACTCTATTCATCAACCCTCTTCCTGATTGCCTTTCTGAATCGACGGGAGTGTACTTCGCTGATGATTTCAAATTCTTCAAAACAATATACACCCCACAGGATTGTATCTCGTTGCAGGCAGATATAAACAATGTCAGTCATTGGTTTAAGGCTGACAAAATGTCAATAAACATAAAAAAGTGCTCCGTTACGACCTCCACACGGAAAACAAACATCATTGAATATAACTCTATAATTGATGATGAATAACTGGAACCACGGAACGAAATCAAAGATCTAGGAGTCACATTTCAGAGTGATATGAAATTAAATTCACATTATAATAAAATAGTCAATAAGGCATTCAAATCGTTGGGTTTTATCATAATAAATAGTAGTAAATCATTCAAAATTGAAACAATAATAAGACTCTATCATACATTAGTGAGACCACATCTGGATTATGCAGCTCAAATCTGACACATGTAGACCACATTGAGAAAGTGCAGAAGAGGTACATGCTCAAAATATTGGACTTCACGAGTTTGTTGGACAGAAGGAATAAACAGGCAGTGCTATTCATATATACTATCTATTAAATTATATAAAGTACAAAGACTGTGATTTAATGAAGTATAATATAGACATGAACGTTAATTCCTAAAATCAATTTGAGGATCACTAATTATGATATTTTTAGGGTAGATCTAGTCAGAGCACATCACCAATAAATAGAATGTTATCAATATGCAATCAAGAGCTCAAGCAAATACACATATCAGACTATACATTTTTGGAATTTGATAAACTATTCTGAAAATTACTTGAGAGAGCAGGAAAGACTATACTTTTCCAAAACAATTCAACTTAACTCGGCCTATATAGATGAACCTTCCTGAAAAATTTGTTTCTCGATAAATTACTTGAGGAAACAAGGAAGTCTTTTTCTTCTGAACAATATAACCTAACTCAGCCTGAATGACCTTTCTTCCTGAAGAGTTTATTTTTCTGAAAATTACGTATAGAACATAGTATATGGCCATAGTAGGCATACTTTGGTTATGTTCGGAGACTATGTTAATATCGAAATGTGGGATTAACGAAATGTGGGCCTATCGAAATGTATGGGTGTAACGTAATGTAGGCGTAGCGAAATGTGAGCAGAAAGCAATGTTGGTGTAACGAAATATAGGCGTGACACAACGTGTCGATAGGCCCACAATGACTGTTTTAGTGAATTTTGGCATACACGATATTATTTGGCAACAGTGCATCCTCCGAGTATGTTCGGAAACTGTAGGTATATCGTAATTTGGGCCTATCGAAATGCGGGAACAATGCGATGTGGGAGTAACGAAATGTGGATGTACCGACATGTTCTCACTCCACTCATTGAAAGTATTATAGACTCCCACCTAAGATGGGAATATTATTTCTCTCAGAAATGGTATTTCGTCTGTAAATCAAGACACGGTATGAACGTATACGTAACGTTCTCATTGCTACACTCCTACTACTAATCATTTCTCTCTTGTTCCAGATATCCTACTCAATTTTCGCACCACCTACGTGAACAGAAAAGGAGAGGTTGTTTCACAATGCAAAGCCATCGCAATAAACTACTTGAGGACGTGGTTTCTAGTGGATATGCTGGCCGCGTTGCCCTTCGATCTGCTCTATGCCCTTTACGGAGCTGAGGTATGTACACGTCGTTCAAAAAATACGTCATCTCGAGATAATAGAAGAAAAATTAATCATATTATGATGGAATTGAAAATACAACTTCTTTCAATGCTCAGGTTGTCGATTGATGACAAGGTCGTAGATGAAGCAATGTTTGTTTTATTTTGAATTAAGAAGATCGACTAGTCGATCATGCTTACAAAATGCATATTTTCAACTTCAGAGCCGTTCGGAGTGAAGTCGATCAGCTAAAAATAACAGAATGTATAAATAAAACAGTTGGAAGACATTTGCAGAATAATTTTGCAATAAAACCTATATCAAGCAAGCACTGATGGTGAACCTGTCTCGCTGATATCATGATCACTTAGTGATTATATGAGATTGTAGGAGATTCCATGGTGTTTTCATGGGATTTCTACAATGAAATATTGGCATATTTCATGGAAAATATCACATTATAACATCGAAAGCCATAATCAGGTAATTTAATTTTCGATTATATCCGACTATGCCTAATCATTGAGAAAATCTCAACCATCTCAACCAACAGCCGTGAAGCAACGTTAAATTCTGTCATGAAATCAGTCATGACATCATTATATTATGGCGTCATAATATTATTCATGACAGTCATTAAATCTTCTTCATCAAGAAATAAAGTTTGCTCCAATCTTATTTGACTTCCTTGAGGATAATATCATATTGGAGAATATCGATGATATTCATGCTGGAGAATTCGAGGAATAATCATAACAACGTACAGTAAATGAAAATCAAAAATCACTCTGTCTCAGAAATTCTCATGAAAATGGAAGGGTTTTTTTCAGCCTTCACTTGATTCATTTGCTACTTTTTCATGTATCGAATGAGCTCAACTGGAAAAAAAAAAGAAAAATGACGTTATCACTCGTGAATGGACCACCCTGTTTATTGTGTTAGGAATTTCTACAAGAATTGTTTGTTTTTGAGAAACGATAGTCGATATTTTTTTGACTACCAAGTATCACATGGCTCGACTTTGATGCAACACATACCATTCGTTTGCAATTCCCAACATTCATTCAAAGGCTTTAACGGCGAAGTTGGACCTTTTTGAATGAAGGCTTCTCGGAGTAAAATTATTATGTTAAGTAATTTTGATATAGTTCACCATCCAGAGAGTATACGCCGCTGAACTAGGTTAAGTCCGCATAACCTGATTTTCAGAGTTTATTTCGATCAGTAAAGCGGATGTAGGTGATGAAGACAGTGAACAAGACATACCGAAAATCAAGGCTAGAAAAACAAAATCCAACCCAGAAACGTAAATGGAAATTATAGAGAAAACGAAAAGACATCAAGGACTGGAGCATACTACTGAGGAATCTGAAAAAATCATGAAACAAAGGAGTCTGAAATCATCAAGTCTAGAAACCTGTGAATTTGAGTGTATAGAAAAAATACCAGAAGAGAAAAGAGTGGAAATACACGGGCAATATTGGACACAACAAAAATTCATTTGATATGAAAAGGCTATTCGTAGCCTCACATGTTCAACAAATTCCTGTGGTGAGAAGAAGAGAAAGGAACAATCAACGTGAAAAAAATAGGCAAAATACGGATCGATACTTTTTCGAACATAATGGAAATCAAGTTATAGTATACAAAAAGTTTTTGGAGATGAAGAGGGAAGGCGGTCTCCTATCAGCAGACAAAATAGGTAGACATGAACCTGAAATGAGATTTTGAATAAAGTTCGCAATGATGTTCGACAGTACATATCTAGTTTTCCAGTCTATGAGAGCCATTATTCGCGTGAGAGATCAGAAGAAAACGTTTGGAAGATCACCTTACGTGAGTATTTCCATGAACATAGCATGCCCGAGAAAAATATTGCTAAGGAATGGTTATATTCTGATATATTCAACCATGAATTCAATTTTTCTTTCTAAAACCCAGATAGTGACACGTGCGATAAATGCGATAAATTCAAGATGAAAATGCAAGGATTTACTGACCAAGATGTGAGAAAAATATTCCAAGAAAAATATGACAGTTATCTTGAAGACGCAAGTGATCGATATAAAATGTAGAAAGCAGACAAACAACATTCAAAAGAAAGAGAACGTTACGGAAAAAGTTTTAATGAAGGATTTAAGAAAATGACTTTCAACTCCCGATCTCCATAACTCTCAGAGTTTTTATAGTTTTAAACTTTGGACAACTCAAGCAGCTGACTGAAACTGAAATATCTCCTGGCCCGAAACAGAAAACCAAGTTTTTGGAATGCACTCTTAGCAATTGATCTCACGTAATTTCCTCAAGAAAGGTTATTGCTGATAGTGATACCAAGCATCGAAATGGATGTCTTCAAAGGTATGGTTACTTCTAACAAGCTTATGTTGGGCACAGTGAGATCGGCTTTTCTAGAGAAAAGGCATGCTTGTGTTTTGTTTGCAATGAAATCTACCAAGTTATTGGATCCCCATTCGAGAATTGTTGCCAAGTCCATATTTATGTTGTCAACATTTCTCCCTCGTTCGTTTCTGATTTTCCTGGCTGGTATTGGAGCCCTGGAAGTGAATGCGGTATGGACGCGAAGCTCTGTACTGGACATGAAGTTGCTTCCAACAAATCGTTGATATGGGGTAGAAATAGTGTTGGTGCAAGAATGAATCCTAGCGGAACACCAGCATTTATTATAAGAGAGTCAGATGAAACTCCATCAACCACTACATGGTGAGACCTATTCGAGAAAAAACTAGCTAGCTGGGGAGGCAAGCCATGAGATGGAAGCTTGGCGAGGAGTCCGTGGTGCCAGACTCGATCGAATGCCTTGGAGATATCAAGTGCCACGGCTAAGGTTTCACCATATTTCTCAATAGATTGCTGCCATATATGTGAAACGTAAGCGAGCAGATCACCAGTTGATCTCTGATGTCGGAAGCCATATTGCCTATCGTTGATAATACCTGAATGTTCCAGGTATTTCATGAGCTCGATGTTGATAGCTTCCTCCATGATCTTTGAAATAATAGTATTCCACAAAGAAATATAATAGGGAAATGTGTCTCATTGATTTGTTATTCTACATGGTTGCCTAAAAATAGTGCACGCAACACGTCCACGTTTGCATGGACTCGCAGAGTTCCAGGACTCGCCTACGGTTCGGCCTTGAATTTTGAATACTCGTCCAAAAAAAAACAGTTTTTTACGCAATTGTTACGTAAATTACTATTCTCAGAATCAGAAGCACAATTATATATTAATAAGAGAGAGGAATAGTACATGAAATGAACGATATTGGTAGATGACGAGAGAAAAAATAGTTATTTGTTTGACTAGGCAGCAAAGTAGTAGATTGACTGCCGTGGCTGAATTCATAGCCGAGAGTAGCGAGGCTAGGAATCCAGCTAAGGCAGTCAATCTACTTTGCTGCCGAGTTGAACATATAATTTTTTCTCCGATTGTTCATAATGATATGGGAGAATATTGTATTTGCGAATTAATACAATTCCCACAATCTCTTTATTCTTCCTGTATAGTGTTCAATTAAAATAAAATTTGATAGAAATCGCAGTTGTTGGTTTGACAATTCATGAAATTTCTGACAGTTGTGCGAAAAAATATCGGTATATTTGAATTATTATATAATGGACAGTGATAGCGACCTGGAAGTATTCTTACACCTCTATTAATAAGGGAGGTGGCAAAAAATATAGAGTTGAATTTGTTGCCGGAGAAGTTTCGGATGGAATATGAAGGAAATTATAAACGATTTATGGATTTTTAATTTTGCTGATACATATCAATCAGCAAAGTAACCACTTTGCTGCCTAGGCAGGAAAAGTAATACTTTGCTGATTGATATGTGTCAGCAAAATTAATATTCGCTGCCAATCGGAGGAAAAAACTATTTTTCTTGCTATATTCCATGCAGAACATTGAATTACATCCTCCCGAAATCTATGCAATAATTTGTATAGGCGAGTAAAATCGCGAGTCTGCAGACTTTGTTTCGAGCTCTTGGCTCCCATCAGTGCAGGGCTGTCCCAGTTACATTACACCACTGTATAATATCATCATGTGATGATAGATATATTTACGTAACCAGTAAGGAAACGAGGAAAACGATTTGTATAACGATTGGATTTTGCGAGACGAACAAGGAGAGATCCCACAAACCTCGGAGTTACACAAAATGCGTTTCCTAACGTGTTATGTACAATATTTTTGTCTAATTTTGACAACAGATTTCGCTCGAACAAAAATAATGGTAAATTTAGTAGGTAAGTTGATTTCGTTCGTCACTCAAAAGTATCCGTCAAGCAAAAATATGGTCACAAATCAAGGACAAAATTCAGGAGATAGACTCATTTGATATCCTCATTAGTGAAAAATAGCCAAAATATTCAATTTCAGATTTTCCAAGTTTTTTTTGGAATTAAATCACTTTGTACAAGGATTTTTCATTCGAATGGAGCAATATACACTTATCTCGAGTCAGTAAGCTTGCTTTTCTATCACAAATTTTCGATTCTCCAAAAATTTTGACGAAGATATTGTACTCTTTCTCCATGGCGATATAGCCATTTTTTCTCGAGATATTTCAAGTTGAACATAAATCTGCACAATCATTTTGATTTCAATGTGCATTAATTTTGTCAATATTTTGGGTCAATGAATTGTATTCATCAATGAAATGAAACTTCAATCCATATTAACAATGAAAACATGATAACATAACAGACAGGAGCCGTTACAGGGTGTTTGACAAGTTGCAACTGATGATAGAACCTATTGTATAATGTTTAATGAAGGCATTACCGGTCGTGGAGGTAACGTAGTCGCTTCCTGTTTATTCGAATGGTCAAAAATTATTAGAATAGCTGATACTGCTGCCTAATCAATTATTTGGTCCGACATTGACCCGTCGCAGAACAGGAATGTTCAAATATTGATGTCATACTTCTTCATTCTGGAACATGACCAGAATCTTAGGAAAATAAGTCACAAATTGTTGGCCAGACACCCCACGCACCTATAGGCTGATGGGGATCACCCAATCATCGGGCGAGAAAGAAAAATAGGTCTCTCAACTGAGAATCGTCACGCCATGGGACTAGCAACAGGTTGTCAGATTTTGTGGCACAAAATAGTATATTACATAACAAGAGTTGTAAAACGCATATTACGCACGAAGTGGAGAGAGTTACACACGATGCCGCATAGCGGCGAGTGTGTAACTCCACAAGTGCGTAATTGCTTTACAACTCGAGAATTGTACTATACTTTTCCTACGACTACACTATATTTTCTTCCGGATAGTGCAGATATTGTATTATGGCACAAATAACGAGTACATTATATATACATGTCCCCCTTCACTAAATCAGCTGCATGAAAAGTTACAAATCAAATTCTTTGCTTGTTTATTGATACATTGCATACTGAGACATTTTCCTCAATTCGACCTGAACTGGAGCAGTTTTTCATATCTGAACAACTTTATTAAGAGCAGAAAATACATTATATAAAAATATGAAATCAACATTCATAATGGTTATTTATTGTAACAGTGCAGAACGAGAGATTCTGTAATCGTTATAAAAAATGATTAAAATAAGTTCCGCAATTGCGCTCTGAACCGCCGACCTTTGGCTTCGGAGCCAGCGCTTCAACACCTGAGCCATCACCATTAATTTGTATCAGTAGATATTTTATTAATATCACTTCGAAGATTGATCTTTCCTAATTATTCCTGTAATTAAAAGAAAACGGAATTCATCAATTCAATGTTGAGTATATGTATGTTATTTGAAAAATTACCATGAATAAATATTCATCAACAGGAGCATTCTGCAGAAGATAATTGATCTGTTCAGCATTAATATTTTCGATTTTTTACTTCGGAATCCATCTGATTTCCTTTCGAGGAAATGGGATATATTGCTATATACAGGGTGTTTCATTGGGAAAGGTAAATAATTCAACTGTGGATAGGGGTCACTGGGGTGATTTCAAAAAACCCATGGTTGATGGGTCTTCGACTTCTTATAACCGAGATACAGGATGTTTCATCAATTTTGTCCATATCTTCATTGTCTCATAACTTTCCAACCAACCTGTATGTATTTTTAAAAATTGGTACACTTGCTCAATCTATCCTGTGGCATCGATTGAGGCAACAACAAAAGATAAAATCCAGGTCCGGCTTCACTTAAAATTCACAAATTCTTTCTGTCAGAAAACAACACCCTATACATTCGAATTTCTCATTTTTTTTGTAATATCTGAAAAGAACATCAAAATTTCTATTCAGCGATGTGCTTTTTATTCGTGCACAGACGATTTTAACTATTCATATTATGTGCTCAAAATATTATTTTTGCTCATTTTGGGGTACAAAATTGGAATCAGACGAGATTTATTGATTTTATTACTTCCTATTCAGTATACGTGAGTAGATATTACATTTAGAAGGAGTATTTCATATCGTTCTTTGTTCCAGTTGCAGGTCCGTCATCAAAACTATACAGGGCTTTTCACGATAAGCGTTGATTCGATGTTTCTGGCAAACCAGGCAACGGATAAATCTGAAATTTCGCTGAAATTTCGATGGTATGTATAATTAACATAATCTACACTACTGAAATATTTGAAACGATCCGGCTTTGCCGCTTCTACTCGAAAGTAGCAGTAACTTTGATTTTTCAAATTGGACACCCTGGATGCTTCCTGAAGAGCTGATTTAATCGATTCGCAAAGTTCTAGTCTAGTGGGACTAATAACTGAAATATTTAGAGTGAGAAAAATCGAGATGTTTCAACTTTGGAATTATTTTGCGAAAATATTTATTTTTTGATCAAAACGGCTTTTATGTCCCTATCTTAACTTTGTATCTATTGACATTTAATCGAAACAAATACAGAATGGTTCATAATTCAGATTTCTGCACCACCCTGTATCTGTTTCAATTGAATATCGAATGGAAAGTTGAGATAGGGACATTGAAGCCGTTTTGACCATGCAATAATGAATAGTTTCAACACAAACCATTTCAAAAGTTGAAACATCTCGATTTTCCACATTC